GGGAAGACAGCAGCAGCCTTGGAGGTGGCCCGAGCCGCCGGGGCCCCCTACCCTGTCCCCTGTGCAGCCGAGAGGGGGCCTGCTCCTGCCTGCCACTGGAGCGGGGGGACGCCGTGGCAGGCTGGGGGGGCCACCCTGCTCTTGGCTGTCCCCACCCCCCCGAGGACGACTCCTCGCTGCGGGCAGAGCGGGGTTCCCTGGCCGACTTGCCTATGGCCCCCCCCGCATCGGCCCCCCCCGAGTTTCTGGACCCCCTTATGGGGGCGGCGGCGCCCCAGTACCCCGGGCGGGGGCCACCTCCCGCTCCCCCCCCCCCGCCGCCACCTCCTCGGGTCCCCGCGGACCCGGCCGCGTCCCCCGACCCCCCTTCGGCCGTGGCCAGTCCCGGTTCAGGCCTCTCGTCGCCGGGCCCCAAGCCGGGGGACAGCGGCTACGAGACCGAGACCCCTTTTTCCCCCGAGGGAGCCTTCCCAGGTGGGGGGGCGGCCGAGGAGGAAGGGGTCCCTCGGCCGCGGGCTCCCCCCGAGCCACCCGACCCAGGAGCGCCCCGGCCACCTCCAGACCCGGGTCCGCTCCTGCTCCCGGGGCCCCGGGAGAAGCCGACCTTCGTGGTTCAAGTGAGCACAGAGCAGCTGCTGATGTCCCTGCGGGAGGATGTGACAAGGAACCTCCTGGGGGAGAAGGGGGCGACAGCCCGGGAGACCGGACCCAGGAAGGCAGGGAGAGGCCCCGGGAACAGAGAGAAAGCCCCGGGCCTGAGCAGGGACCCGACAGCCCTCGGCAACGGGAAACAAGCCCCAAGCCCGAGCCTCCCAGTGAACGGGGTGACAGTGCTGGAGAACGGGGACCAGAGAGCCCTGGACATCGAGAAGGTGGGCACCGAGAAGGCGGCGGAGAATGGGGCCCTGGCGTCCCCCGAGAGAGAAGAGAAAGTGCTGGAGAATGGGGAGCTGACACCCCCAAGGAGGGAGAAGGCGCTGGAGAATGGGGAGCTGAGGTCCCCAGAGGCCGGGGAGAAGGTGCTGGTGAATGGGGGCCTGACACCCCCAAAGAGCGAGGACAAGGTGTCAGAGAATGGGGGCCTGAGATTCCCCAGGAACACAGAGAGGCCACCAGAGACTGGGCCTTGGAGAGCTGCAGGGCCCTGGGAGAAGAAACCCGAGAGTTGGGGTCCAGCCCCCACGATCGGGGAGCCAGCCCCAGAGACCTCTCTGGAGAGAGCCCCTGCACTCAGCGCAGTGGGCTCCTCCCGGAACGGCGGGGAGACAGCCCCTGGCCCCCTTGGCCCAGCCCCCAAGAACGGGACGCTGGAACCCGGGACCGAGAGGAGAGCCCCCGAGACTGGGGGGGCGCCGAGAGTCCCAGGGGCTGGGAGGCTGGACCTCGGGAGTGGGGGCCGAGCCCCAGTGGGCACGGGGACGGCCCCCGGCGGCGGCCCCGGAAGCGGCGTGGACGCAAAGGTCGGATGGGTAGACAACACGAGGCCACAGCCACCGCCGCCACCACTGCCACCGCCACCGGAGGTGCACCCGAGGAGGCCGGAGCCAGTGCCCCCGAGAACCAGGCCGGAAGTGGCCTCCGAGGGAGAGCCCGGGGACCCAGACAGCAGGGCCGGCGGAGACACGGCACCCAGCGGAGACGGGGACCCCCCCAAGCCCGAGAGGAAGGGCCCCGAGATGCCACGACTGTTCTTGGACTTGGGACCCCCTCAGGGGAACAGCGAGCAGATCAAAGGTGAGGAGGCTGCGGGGCACAGTCAGGGCTGAGGTCCGGCTGTTCCTGAGGCGTGCGGTGGCTGAGCGTGGGTAAAGATGTCAGGTCAGGCTGGCAGTGATGAATGCAGGCCCTGGAACTCGCACTGCCTGGGCTCACATCCTGGCTCGGTCCCCTCCCTTGCTCTTTGGCTTTGGGTAAATGTCCTTGCTGCAGTGCCTCAGTTTACCTATCTGCCCAAAACGGATGTCAGGGATAGAACCTACCTCAAAGGGTTGCTGTGAAGGTTAAATGAATTAGGAAGCCTAAAGCACTAACCAGGGCAGGGATTTGGTAAGCACCTGCTCTTACTAGCACAATTCATTTAGACAGGGCTCTCAGGCCCACAGGGGCCAGAGGATATTGGGGAATGGATGAAGCATGCTGGGGAGGCGGAGTGGGGCTTCAGAAGAAAATGCCCTGTGTAGACGCAGCAGCCACTTCTCAGGAATGTGCACCTGGTGCTGGTGAATCTGCCACTTCCTCCCCCTTTATTTTTTTAAAGACGGGGTTTCACCATGTTGGCCAGGGTGGTCTTGAACTCTGACCTCAGGTGATCCGCCCACCTTGGCCTCCCAAAGTGCTGGGATTACAGGCATGAGCCACGGCACCCGGCCACCGCTTTTCCCTTTTAAACCAGACCTCTCGTTTTTGTTTTGATGGTTGCAGCCAATTCAAAGGAAGCCTGTCTGGGTGGCTCCAAGGCCCCAGGCGACCAGCATGTGCTGTGTCATTTAGACTTTCCAATAAGCTGGTCAGGCATAGTGGCTCATGCCTGTAATCACAGCACTTTGGGAAGCCGAGGCAGGAGGATCACTTGAGGTCAGGAATTTGAGAGCAGCCTGACCAACATGATGAAACCCCAGCTCTACTAAAAATACAAAAATTAGCCAGGCATGGTGGTGTGCACCTGTGGTCCCAGCTACTCGGGAGGCTGAGGCTCGAGAATCGCTTGAACCTGGGAGGTGGAGGTTGAAGTCAGCCAAGATCACGTCGCTGCACTCCAGCCTGGGTGACAGAGCAAGACTCTATTATTAGTCTCGAAAAACTTTCCAATAAGCTAAGGCATCTATCCAGTGTGCCAGGCCTCCTGTGTGCCAGGCCCTGACCTGCCCAAGGCTGGGACCCAGGGAGCTTCAGACCCAACTCCACCACCATGGAACTAGTGAGCTACAAGGCAAAGAAATCCCTTTTCTGAAAATTTAGTTTTGATAGGAACACAAAAAGTGTTTTACCACAGAGGAAACTATTTAAGATAAATGAAGGGTAAAAGTAAACAGCCCTTGTTGAGATGTGGACATAGGAAATACAGTTCCAGCAGGATCTCTAGGAGGTGCAATTTCCTTAAATACTGGTATGAAAAAGCCGGGCATGGTGGCTCACGTCTGTAATCCCAGCACTTTGGGAGGCTAAGGCGGGCAGATCGCGAGGTCAGGAGTTCAAGACCAGCCTGACCAACATGGTGAAACTAAAAATACAAAAATTAGCTGGGGGTGGTGGTGGGAGCCGGTAATCCCAGCTACTCAGGAGGCTGAGGCAGGAGAATTTCTTGAACCCAGGAAGACAGAGGTTGCGGTAAGCTGAGATCTCGCCAGTAGACTCTAGCCTGGGTGACAGAGTGAGACTCCATCTCAAAAAGAAAAAAAAAAAAAAACTGGTATGAAAGTTTTTTTTTGTTTTGTTTTTTTTTTTTTTTTTTTGAGACGGAGTTTCACTCTTGTTACCCAGGCTGGAGTGCAATGGCGCGATCTCGGCTCACTGCAACCTCCGCCTCCTGGGTTCAGGCAATTCTCCTGCCTCAGCCTCCCGAGTAGCTGGGATGACAGGCACACGCCACCATGCTCAGCTAATTTTTTGTATTTTTAGTAGAGACGGGGTTTCACCATGTTGACCAGGATGGTCTCAATCTCTTGACCTCGTGATCCACCCGCCTCGGCCTCCCAAAGTGCTGGGATTACAGGCGTGAGCCACTGCGCCCGGCCTAGTATGAAAGTTTTAAGTGGCTGGGTCCTGTTTTATATTGGCAACCTCACAGCCACACTTGAGGAAAGAGGAGCCTATGGCTCAGTGGGCAAGGGTCAGGAAGCAGGCTGAACACAGGTTGTTTCTTTCTTAAAGCCCGTGGTGTTTGAACACTCATTTCCTTGAGATTGTTGTGGGGAGTTTGTGACCAGCTGTATCAGGAAACAGCTCAGGCAGCATGAAAACGTTGGGAGATGAGCAGCTAAGATGCCTCAGAGGATCTGGATTAGGATTGATGAGAAGAGGCAGAGAATGGCCTGCTTTTTTCCATCAAGTAAACTCCTACTCATCCTTCAGGACCCCACCCAAATTTGCCCTTTCCAGGAAGTCTTCCTGATTTTTAAAGGTTGTCACTGTGACCTTTATCTGGGTACTCATAGCCCCCAGAAAAACTCCCTTTATGCTGCTTCCCCCATAAATCCATCATCCTGAGATGTCTGGTCCACAAAAGCATGAAGGAGGTGGTCATCAAGGGGACAGTGTTCTAGATAGAGGGCACTGAGATGGGCACTGGCTCAGCATATTTAGAGAATAGCAAAAGGGAGTAAAACTTGAGTAGAGAGAATGAGGACCAGAGAGGGAGCATGTGCATTCATCTTTCTCCCTGCAGCACCTCAATCCTCCTCTTGCCCCTGCCATCTGCCAGAACAGGGCCATTCACTTCCGCAGTAATGGAGGGACAAGTGATCCCTGTTCATCTGCCAGTGAGGAAACAGGCTCAGAGAGGCGGAGCTGGCCAGGTGCAGTGGCTCATGTCTGTAATCCCGGCACTTTGAGAGGCCCAAGGAGGCAGATCACTTGAGGTCAGGAGTTCAAAAACAGCCTCGCCAACATGGTGAAACCCCAACTCTACTAAAAAATACAAAAATTAGCCAGGCATGGTGGCACGTGCCTGTAGTTCCAGCTACTCAGGAGGCTGAGGCAGGAGAATCACTTGAACCTGGGAGGTGGAGGTTGCAGTGAGCCGAGATCGCACCACTGCATTCCAGCCTGGGTGACAGAGCGAGACTCAGTCCTCCCCAGCCAAAAAAGAGAGAAATCTGTTTGCCCAGTGACACACAGGAAGTGAAGATAAGCTTGGGATTCCAAGCCAGGTTTCCTCCTCCAGGGACCTCAAGTCCTTCCTTCCCAGTAGGCTAAAATTGGAGAGTCTTGGGGCAGGGAAGGGGTCTGGAGATGGTTAGACACCCCAAATTTGGCAATCAAGCGCCAGAGAGAGGAAGTACCTTGGTCATTGTCACGCAGCAGGTAGCATTCACACATTAATCCTACAGTGACGGAGTACTTCTGTGTGCTTGGGGCCTGGAAGAGAGGCTATGAGTCAGACCCAGTCTCCGTTCTTTAGCAAGGCTCACACACCACCACAGAAGTATAATTATACGCTGAGAAAGTCTGCTCAGGAGAGGTGCTTGGTGGATGGGGTGCAGAGTGGGTGCTCCTGACCTCTTGGGAGATTTCTGAAGGCTTTGAAAGCCCAAAGCTGGGGAATGCGCAGGACTTGTGTTAGAAAAGAGTCCAGGCTGGGCAAGGTGGCTCACACCTGTAATCCCAGCACTTTGGGAGGCTAAGAAGGGTGGATCACGAGGTCAGGAGTTCAAGACCAGTCTGGCCAGCATGGTGACACCCCATCGCTACTAAAAATATAAAAAATTAGCCATGCATGGTGGCACACCTGTACAGTCTGAGCTACCTGGGAGGCTGAGGCAGGAGAACTGCTTGAACCGAGGAGGCCCAGTGTGCAGTGAGCCGAGATGGAGCCATTGCACTCCAGCCTGGGAGACAGAGCGAGACTGTCTCAAAACAAAACAAAACAAAACAAAAAAAGAAAGAAAGAAAGAAAGAAGAAAAAGAAAAAAAGGGAGTCCAGGCTGGGCGCGTGGCTCACGCTTGTAATTCCAGCATTTTGGGAGGCTGAGGCGGGAGGACTGCTTGAGGCCAGTAGTTTGAGACCAGCCTGGGCAACACAGTGAGACCCCTGTCTCTTAAAAAATAAGAAAGAAAGAAAAGAAAAACAAAAAGGAGTCCAAGCAGATGGAACGCACGTGCAAAGGCCTGTAAGTGTGAGGAATGGTGTGGTGGCCCATGTGGCTAGATGGAGGTCAGGCCAGAAGGAGGTGGGTACAAGAGGCCAGGGAGGTCAGCTGGGCCAGGGCACGCGGGCCTGGGGCGCTGTGGGAAGTTGGGGCTTAACGCCGTTGGCACAGGGAAGCTCTGGGAGGTTGAGCACTGGAGAGGCCCTTTCCCACCCCGCCTGGGCAAAGGCCCCGGTGCAGCCCTGCCGAGGCCCAGATTGTGCGGGGGACTTTTACCTGAAGCCACACAGCTAGGTGGGAGGGCCTGCCTCAGTCTCCTCGGGACAGGGGCTCACCGGGTCTCTCCCCTCGCAGCCAGGCTCTCCCGGCTCTCACTGGCGCTGCCGCCGCTCACGCTCACGCCGTTCCCGGGGCCGGGCCCGCGGCGGCCCCCGTGGGAGGGCGCGGACGCCGGGGCGGCTGGCGGGGAGGCCGGCGGGGCGGGGTCGTCGGGGCCGGCGGAGGAGGACGGGGAGGACGAGGACGAGGACGAGGAGGAGGACGAGGAGGCGGCGGCGTCGGGCGCGGCGGCGGGGCCGCGGGGCCCCGGGAGGGCGCGAGCAGCCCCGGTGCCCGTCGTGGTGAGCAGCGCCGACGCGGACGCGGCCCGCCCGCTGCGGGGGCTGCTCAAGTCTCCACGCGGGGCCGACGAGCCAGAGGACAGCGAACTGGAGAGGAAGCGCAAGATGGTCTCCTTCCACGGGGACGTGACCGTCTACCTCTTCGACCAGGTACGGAACCCGAGAGGGCGCGGATGTGGGGGCGCGGCCAGGAGGGAGCGGGGCCTGGAGCGGGGCGGGGCCTGGAGGGGGCGGAGCCTGGAGTGGCGCCGAGCCGGAGCGGGGCGGGGCCTGGAGGGACGCCGAGCTGGAGGGGGCGGGGCCTGGCGGGATGCCGAGCAGGAGCGGGGCGGGGGCTGGGGCGGGGCCGAGCTAGAGTGGGGCGGGGCCTAAGGAGAGAGCATATAGAGCGGGGCGGGGCCCAGAGAGGGCGATCTGGGCCTGGGGCGGGGCCTAGACGAAGGCTGCGCTTAGAGTAAGGCGGGGTCTAGAGCAGAGTTTGGAACTGGCCGAGTCTAGAGACGGGGCGGGGCCTGGAAGGAGACCACTCCTAGGTTTGGGACAGGGTCTAGAGGGGGTCCTGAAGGGAGACCAAGGTGAAGGCGAGGTCTGGGGAGAGACTGATCAGGGAAATGGGGCGGGACTAGGAAGATGGAAGGAGGCTCTGAATGTGAGGGCGGGGCCTGGGAATGGGGCAGGTCCTGGAGGACGGACGGAACCTAGAGCTGGGGTGGGACCTGGGGCGGGGGCGGGGCTTGCGATGGGGGCGGGGTCTAGAGGGCGAGGAGAGGCCTGGAGAGTGAGAGTGAGGCGAGTCTGAAAGGAAAGAGGGGAGTACCGGGTAGTCAAGTATGGGACCCTGGAGAGGTTCGGGAGGAAGTGCTGAGAAGAGGATTGGGGCGTGGCCTGGATGGTGTGAGCGGGTCCTAGTGAGAGTTTGGGCCTGTAGGTCTGGCTCGCTATGGAGCAAATCTTACCCACTAGGGAAGGGTCACGGCTAGGCTGCAGGTGGGCTTCAGAGATACAGCGGGCAGTCTTAAGGTAATTGGGGTGGGGTCAGGGATGGGCAGACCTAACTACTGGGACGTGTCTTTAAAGAGATGGGTTGAGGCCGGGAGCGGTGGCTCAAGCCCGTAATCCCAGCACTTTGGGAGGCCGAGGCGGGTGGATCACAAGGTCAAGAGATCGAGACCAACCTTGGTCAACAAGGTGAAACCCCGTCTCTACTAAAAATACAAAAAAAAAAATTAGCTGGGCGCGGTGGCGCGTGCCTGTAATCCCAGCTACTCAGGAGGCTGAGACAGGAGAATTGCCCGAACCCAGGAGGCGGAGGTTGCGGTGAGCCGAGATCGTGCCATTGCACTCCAGCCTGGGTAACAAGAGCGAAACTCCGTCTCAAAAAAAAAATAAATAAAATAAAATAAAGAGATGGGTTGAAGATTGTGTTAAGAGTTAGGCCGCGGCCGGGCGCGGTGGCTCACGCCTTTAATCCCAACATTTTGGGAGGTCGAGGTGGACCGATCACCTGAGGTTGGAAGTTCGAGACCAGCCTGGCCAACATGGAGAAACCCCGTCTCTACTAAAAATACAAAATTAGCCTGGCGTCATGGTGCGCGCCTGTAATCCCAGCTACTTGGGAGGCTGAGGCAGGAGAGCTGCTTGAACCCGGGAGATGGAGGTTCCAGTGAGCCGAGATTGCGCCATTGCACTCCAGCCTGGGCGACAGAGCGAGACTCCGTCTCAAAAAAAAAAAAAAAAAAAAAGGTTAAGCCAGTCGTCGTGGCTCACGCCTGTAATCTCAGCATTTTGATTACAGCATTTTGTGAGGCCAAGGCAGGAGGATCGCTTGAGGCCAGGAGTTCAAGACCTGCCTAGCCAACATGGCAGGACCTTGTCTCTTAAAAAAAAATAATAATAATAAAAAATCTGGGTGTGGTGTCGCGCACCTGTAGTCCCAGCTACTCAGGAGGCTGAGGTGAGAGGATCACTTGAGCCCAGGAGGTCGAGGCTGAATTGAGCCATGATCGTAACACTGCTCCAGCCTGGGCGACAGTGAGATTCTGTGTAAAACAAAAACATAGGGGATGGTGTTGAAGAGAAAAAGGGAGGGTGAGTGGTGCTCAGGGACTGCAGCCTTGTCTAGATGAACCTGGGGCGGGCGTACTGGGCTGAGATTACGAGAGGAAGGCCAAGAACTGGGGCCTGGGCGACTGAAGTGTATTCAGAGGGGTGAGACTTGGAGGGCGGGAGCAGGTCTACTTCTCAGGGAGGGCTCGAGGGCAGAGTCACAGCGCCCAGCACGGGATGCGCTCAGGATGGGGCAGGGGTTGGGAGGGCCGCGGGAGCCGGTGTAGATCTCAGAGATGGTAGGACTGATGGGGACTGATGGGGTCGGGCTTACGGAGATCACTTTGAGTTAGGGGATCCGACGGAGGCCGCGCATTAAGAAACCAGGAGAGAATCCCTGCTGTGGGCTACTTAACTGTGTGTAGGGCTCCGCTGTCAGGTAAGGAGCCTCGGGCCGGGTTGAGGTTAAGGCTGGCCCAAGGCTTCGAAGCCAGATCAAGAGTTCCACCCACCTCTCCAGAGAGTGCTAGTCAGTGATTACAAACGGGGATTCCTAGATCCCCAGAAATATTAGCGGCTTTTGCTGCTTTTGGGGGATGCAGTAAATGGGACATGACGGTTTGTCCCCTCTGGTTTCCCCCTAACCTGCCTTCACAGGAGACGCCAACCAACGAGCTGAGCGTCCAGGGCCCCCCAGAGGGGGACACGGACCCGTCAACGCCTCCAGCGCCCCCGACGCCTCCCCACCCCGCCACCACCCCCGGAGATGGGTTTCCCAGCAACGACAGCGGCTTTGGTGAGGGCGGAGCCTATAGGACGGGAGGGGGCGGGAGGGGGCCGGGGGGCGGGACCCATGGGGCGGACGGGGCGGGAGGGGCGGGGCCGGAGGGCGGGAGCGCCGCAGGTGCCCGCGGTCTGACTGCGGTCTGCCCTCCCGCCGCAGGAGGCAGTTTCGAGTGGGCGGAGGATTTCCCCCTCCTCCCGCCTCCAGGCCCCCCCCTGTGCTTCTCCCGCTTCTCCGTCTCGCCTGCGCTGGAGACCCCGGGGCCACCCGCCCGGGCCCCCGACGCCCGGCCCGCAGGTATCATGTTCAAGGCCTCGGCCCTGCCCCTCCTCTGCCCGTCTCTGTGCCTCTATGTTCCACTGCCAATTTCTTGTGACCGTCTTTGAATGTCCCTGCCTCTCTCTTCCCAGTCTCTTCTCTCTCCTCTCTCAGTCGTCAGACACCCCACCCAGCTCTGGAACCAGCTCAGACCAGGTGGTGTCCATCAGACGGTCGTAGGCAGGCAGGCCGCCCCCACCCCTGAGCCTCAGTTTCCTCTTCTGTAGGGATTCCCCCAGCCCCGACTCTTGCCCATCTTTGTCCCATCTCTGGGCTCAGACTCCGTCGTGGCACTTGCCAGATCCTAATCCCACCTCCGTTTGGGGAACACGGTGCTCAGAGGCAGACAAGGAGAGAGGAACCCAGCGTGCTCAAAGCCGGTTGGTGTGAACCAGAGCAGAGAGGGCACGGCTGGGGTTAGAGAGCAGTCACAGCGGCACCGCTGCTCTCGCCTAGACTCTGCAGTGCCTCACCACAATTTAACCCATTTAATGTTCAGTTCGATCCCGTGGGGTGGATTCTAGTCTCGTCCTCATTTCTTTTCTTTTTTCTGCTACAGAATCTCGCTCTGTCGCCCAGGCTGGCATGCACCACCACACCCAGCTATTTTTTTTTTTTTTTTTTTTTTTTTTTTTTTGGTAATTTTACTAGATACGGGGCTTTACCATGTTGGCCAGGCTGGTCTCAAACTCCTGACCTCAAATGATCCTCCCACCTTGGCCTCCCTAAGTGCTGGGATTACAGGCGTGAGCGACCGGACCCTCCCAGTCTCACCCCCATGTTACAAAAGTGAGGAGCTGGGATTCAAACCTGCAGCTGCTCAGCCTCTGAGCCCGCGCCCTCGCCTGTAGTGAACATTGGTCTGGTTTCTTTCCTGGCGTTTCACACGTGCCATGTCGCTAATCCTCGTGGCCGCCTTGGGAGAGGGGTCATGTCACCCAACTCTTGGTAATGCTGAGGCCACTCTCAGGGAGCGGCGGGCACAGGCAGGTCCCAGCGCAGGTCTGGAACGGGACTGGGCCCTCTGCTGCCCCCTGCTGCCGAGCCAGGGGACGCCACAGGATACAGAGCTTGTTCCCAGCCTGACAGGGCAGGTGGTGCTCCCGGATATCCGAGCTAAGGTGGAAGGTGCCACTGGAGAGTTTCACTCCTGCTTCCCCAGTCTTGCCTGAGTCCAGATATTGTCCCTGCCATTTCTCCGCTGTGTGACCTGGGGCAAGTCGCTTTCCCTCTCTGTGCTCATCTGTAGAGTGTGAATAATAACAGGATCTAACTCATGAGATTGCTGAGGGGATTAAACAGCTTAATCCTCCCGTGTATGCAGCACAGAGCTTGTTCATGCAGCAGCGGTCTCCAACCATTAACGATTAATTTTGAGATGGAGTTTCACTCTTGTTGCCCAGGCTGGAGTGCAGTGGCTCAGTCTTGGCTCACTGCAACTTTCACCTCCCGAGTTCAAGCAATTTTTCTGCTTCAGCCTCCCGGGTAGCTGGGATTACAGGCGCCTGCCACCACACCTGGCTAATTTTTGTGTTTTTAGTAGAGACGTGGTTTTGACATGTTGGCCAGGCTGGTCTTGAACTCCTGAGCTCAGGCAATCTGCCTGTCTTGGCCTCCCAAAGTGCTGGGATTACAGGAGTGAGTCACTGCGCTTAGCCCCATTAGCTATTATTATTATTAGATAT